TCAACTCCCAGAATTCCTCAGCCAGCAAAGCTGGCTGAGGAATTCTGGGAGTTGAAGTCCACAAGTCTTAAAGTTGCCAAGGTTGGACACCCCTGGCTTAAAGGTTAATACATCTACCAAATATGTAAGCAGGAGGGATGGGTTTCTACCGGTTCGGACCGGTTCAGGTGAACCGGATGTTACATTTGCACCTGGTTCACCGAACCGGTATTTGAACCAACCGGATGGTCTCACCCACCCTGCCCCTCCCCTCCCCTCCCAGGAGTCTCCATGTGGCACATTTTCGATGCCTGTAAGTGCAGGGTCCACATGGAGGCTCTGGGAGGGTGAAAAATGCACTTTCTGGAGGTCTGGAAACGGGCCTGTTTACCGCTTCCGGAGGGCCTCCTGAGCCCGGGAGAGGCCATTTTCGCTCTCCAAGAGGCCTGAGGGAAGCCAGGCCCTTGGGAAGGCGAAAAACAGCCTTCGCGGAAGTTTTGGTAGGCCACGCCCACCATGACCACGTCCACCCAGCAACTGGGCAGCGAACCAGGTTCAAATCCCAGAAGGGTATGGCTAGCTGAAGAGAGCTAAATAGCTTGAAATAGATCTATTATACTACTAGTCCCCCTTTATTTCTTTGTCGGTAAATATAAATCGCTTTTTCAAAGTTGAGAGACTGTCATCTCTACAGGGGACCCCAGTCCCAAACTTCAAAGTCACCTTTGTGGATAGTCCTCGACTTACAACAGTTCATTTAGTGGTCGTTCAAAGTTACAACGGCACTGAAAAAAAGTGACTTATGACCGTTTCCCACACTTATAATTGTTTCAGCATCCCCATGGCCATGTAATCAAAATTCGGAGGCTTAGCAACTGGTTCAGATTTACAAGGGTTGCAGGCTTAGAATGAACTTGTTCTTAATTCAGGGACTGCCTATATTCTCACAGAGATGGGATGGTTTTTTTTTGTTTTTTTTCTCTTTCTCTAACACATATGAACACATGTCTTATTTTTCCTTCTAAAACCTTTCATTTGACAATCTTCATCATTACATATAACTGACACTAGATATTGCTCAGTTTAACTAAAGGGCCATCTCACCTTTAAATACTGATATATTTTAAATGAACTAGGCTCGATTTTGATATATTTATGGCTATTCTATCTATGTTGAAGCAGGCTTTTTGAGTAAAAAGGCGAAATATAAAGAAGGTGGCTCCAAGTTATAATCTGCTTTGTTTGGTTTGAGTTTAGCATAAAGATCTACCAGCTGGGGAATCTTGCGTGATGGATCAAGGACCACAAAATAAAAAATATAATTATAAAGGGACAGAAATGCCAAAAGCCTTCCAAATTTTACATGTTTTTTTTTTTTTAGCAATCTTCTACCAATTTTTTAGCAAAATTTGTCCCAATTTTGCAGTATTTAATATGCGTGTTCCCATGAAATCTCCTACAATAATTTATTTTTAAAAACCCATTGAACATCCTACAAAATTATTTTATGAATTCTTATTAAACTATGGCTTATGATTTCACTCACTAAACAAATCAAGCAGTCTTCATAAAATTCTAGTTGAAATTAAGAGCTTAAAACCCTTAAAGCCAAATTCTTGACTGCCATAGCCAGTGATGATAAGACAGCAGAATCTTTCCTCTGGCAGAAGAAAGAAGAGAGAATCTAAAGAGACAATCACTTCTCTCTCATCCTTCCTGAAAGGTCTGGAGTTAGCAAAAGAACAAATCTGCTATGCCAGGACTATTTGCAACCAGCTTATCCTCCTTCTGAAGTTCCATAGCATAAAAACAAAGGCAACTTAGCAGCTTCACAGAAATGTTGTGTTCTGTGTTCTCACCAAGGACTCGAAGCTCAGCTGCAGCTGTTACAAAGTGCCTGGTTTGGGGTTTGTTGGCCCGACATACGTAGACTCCTGCATGATGAAGCTGAACAGAAAGGATCACAAGGTTGGTCCGTCCTAACACAATCACATCTGTAGAAATCGGATTCCCATCTTTAAAGAAAAAAAAACAGAAAATCAGACCTTTACGTGGGGTACCAAGTATAGGAGAAAAACATGCAGAGCTGGAGAGAGGGGATGGCGGAATTAAGTACGTCATAAGTTTAGAGTTGCTGAGTTTCCAAAAGCACTTAAAGTCCGACTGCTGAATTTCACTGACCCCTTTCTGGTGCCAATTTAGCGTTGAATTTTAAGTGACAAGATTCTTGTGTATAGGCATGAATAAATCTACTGCAACCTTACATATGGTCCTGGTTCGTTGCTTCTGGCACCAAGACCCCCTAAACCTGAACATACTGAGTTTTGCCATAGATATCGCTGCCTGGACCATGACTGTGTTTCAAATATTTTGGCACTACATAAATCTTCTCCACCCATTTTAATTTCTTTCAGGTTCCAAACCAAACCGAGTGAACAACGTTGCTTCCTGCAAAGTTCCTGTCCCTTTGCACTTCCTTTATATCTTATGGGAGGGGCAATCACCTCCAAGCCTTACTCCTGAGTTGCCCCTTTTGTCTTAACTGCTCTTGCCTTCTGGCAGCTCTGTGCACATGCACACTGGGCTCCATTCTGTATCAGACACAGGACCATCGTTCGAGTCCTCCCCAGACTCCCGGACTGGTCCCTGTTCTTCCCCAGTGTCCGATTCTGCTGCCATCTCTGCAGGCTGCCGACAGACCACAACACTGTTCTGCATTTGCTTCCACGCTCAAACCCAGAAAGTGGTTTCTGTGATCTGCATCACAGCTCTTAACCCTAAAGATAACCAAGGAGGTATTTCTGCAGAGTGCTAACACATGTGTCAGATTTTCCACCAGTTCTGCACAAAGATCCAGCCTTCACCCCCTGACCTTTGAAGCTGGAGAATTATTCCAGATCAGCCTTGACTAATGTAGATCAAAAGGCATCCAGAAACTAGAATTCTGTACCTTTTATAGATCAAAAGTGGCAAACCAATCTCATGCTTTGTCTGCTTTTAACTTTAATTGGCAAGCTTGACTTAGTAGCCCCACTCGAGTTACCTCAAAGTTAGTTTCTCTATATTCAACTGCATATTATAACTCTTTCTTAGAATGTCCGAAAGGTGCTTTTTCCAGGAGGCAATTGGACTTTCTTGTTTTTTCTTTGAAGATGTTTCGCTTCTCATCTAAGAAGCTTCTTCAGCTCTGACTGGATGGTGGGGAAATTGGAGGATTTATATTCCTTGCAGACAGCTGGTCATTTGCATCCTTTTTGAGGGTCATTGAGGCCACCTGGAGGTTTACCTGTGTCCTCAGGGTCACCTGCGTGGTGCTCCTGGTTCCTGTAGTCTGCAATTCTTCCTCTGGAAATCCATTCCCCCACCATTCAAAAAGGGTGTTCATCCCAAATCGCCTAGCTAAAAATCTGTAGCAATTCTCAATCATCCATCTCATGGTTGTCCCAAAGGTGCTTTTGCAAGAGGGAACTGGATTTTCTTGTTTTTTTTAGAATAGACATTGCATTTAGAATGCAATGTCTATTTAAAACAACAACAACAACAACAGCCAGATTTTAAGACCAAAAGGTCTTGGAAAGGCATCTTGGCATCAGAAAAGGTATTAATTTCATTTACCTTCCCGTATCCAAGAGATGAAAGGTGTGGGATTTGCCGATGCGACACACTCCATCACAACAGTGTCTCCAATCACCACTGTGGCATTCTCTGGTGCAGTGATAATGACCACATCACTCATCATTGGTTGTTGGTGACCTAGGGCAACAAAATTCAGATTTACTTTCCCCCACCTCCATTCCCCATACACACATGTCTATCAGAATGTTTTCACCAAAGCATCGCATAAAAAAAGAAAAGTTTTTGAAGTCCAGTGTTCAAGGTTTGCATGAGAATGAAGGTCTTAGATAATGACTAACACTCCTATAAAATCTACATCACATACAAATGCAAGAACTTCCTTCCATGGTGAATTTTTCTAGTTTTCATTTTTGGGAATGAAAGAAGGAGAGGAAGGGGAAGGAAAGAAAAGATGGAGGAAGAGGAGTGGAGACAAGGGTAGGGGAATGAAGAAAAGGATGGGAGGGAGCAGAGGGGAGGAGAGGAAGGAAGGAAGTTAGTTGAAAGATATAAAAGAGAGGGAGAAAATAGGGATATCTCAAATCTTGTGAAATGACTAGGTAAAGGTAAAGGTTCCCCTCGCACATAATACGTGCTAGTCATTTCCAACTCTAGGGGGTGGTGCTCATCTCCGTTACAAAGCCGAAGAGTCAGTGCTGTCCAAAGACGTCTCCATGGTCCTTGTGGCCAGCATGACTAAATGCCGAAGGCGCATGGAACACTGCTACCTTCCCACCAAAGGGGTCCCCATTTTTCTACTTGCATTTTTTACATGCTTTCGAACTGCTAGGTTGGCAGAAGCTGGGACAAGTAACGGGAGCTCACTCCATTACACAGCACTAGGGATTCGAACCGCCAAACTGCCGACTTTTCTGATGGGCAAGCTCAGTGTCTTAGCCACTGAGCCACCACGTCCTTTACTACATCTCCCCAAATTTCACAGAGTTAGCTACACTTGTAGGAGTTCAGTCATGATGAATTCAATTTGGACCCTTGTCCCCAGATGCTCTGTGTTCCATCCTTCTGTATTGAAAACATTTTCTCCAATGTATGAACTTGAGAAAAAAAAAACTTTGATTACTTTAAGCAGATATTCTTAATGCTCAGCTATAATTTCTTTCTTCTCCTGCTCTCTCCTGTCCTCAATTCATTCACTTTGGGAGTTTTTGGCCTAAATCTTCCAAGCAGGCTATTAAAGTCACAGAAAAACTTGTGGCTCTCTGTTAAAAAATAAATAAATCAGGATTCATTTCTCTCCCTTTTTACCAATTAAGCCATTTTTTACCCAACTTGCTTGATTTAAACTTGCCTTAATAACTTGCTTTAATAACTTGAATGCTAGCATTTATTTTTGGGGGGAGGCAAAGAAAGTCCAAGTCTTATGAAGCAGATAAAAACAGTGCCTTGCTCTTAAAAGAGGAAAAACTAAACAAATACTTGGCTGGATTCCTTCCATCCATTCACACTCCAAATCCACAATTGTTTGGGGAGTAAACAAATGCGCATATAATTCTCAGTTTCCCCCTCCCACTAATTAAATTTTCTCCCGACCAACCAATTTTCTACCGCTTAAGTTCCTAATTAAATAGATTCACGCTTGCAAAATCCTTTCGAGATGAAATAGGAGGGTTCCTATACAAAACTGTGTTTAATTTCTCTCGCCATAGTAGGCTGTCCTCGGGCCCAACATCCTTTCTGGGGAATCCACAGGGAGTCAAAAAAAGTCAAAATGTGATCGAAGCCCCACCTGTACTGCCTCTCTTGAACAGCTGTCCAGACCAGTAGCATTTGCAAAAGATTTCACGTCAACTGCTAACTTCCTTCTCGCTTTCTGAGCAACCAGGAAAGAAGAAGAAAAAATCACAGATGGATGTTTTCCCCCCTCTCTTCTCCTCTCCTGAACAGCTGCTCAAAGCCTGAATCCATCCATCCCCAGGGAAGTTGTGGGTTGCTCGGGAGGGGGGCTTCAACAAAATGTCGAGCTTCTGTTCAAGAAAAGGACGGGAAAGTTCACAGCTAAGCGCCAAGCCTACCTAGTTGTCCTATCCGTTTTCTCTCTTCCTCTTGAGATGCTGAACCCAAGGGAGATCCAGCACTTTTTCTACAACTTTGACCCCACTAGGGTTGCTGAGAGACAACATGAATATTATGTGCTGCACACAGGGTTGTAATGCACTGTAGAGCATGGAATCTCAAACTGGGACTGGAGAATTGGATGTGGCTCTTCCATGTAGGGTTGGGTTCCTTCTGTAGCAGAAGGAAACCTGGAAGCATCTTTTCTGACTCACAATTTTTATTTCTGAATTTAATTTACAGCACTAGCACTACAGCATTTTAAGACTTACATATCACTCCACAGTGCTTTACAGCACTTCTGAGTACTTTACAAAATGTCAGCATTTTACCCCCGACAATTGGGGCCCTCATTTTACCGATCTCGGAAGGATGGAAGGCTGAGTCAACCTTGAGCTGATCAGGATCGAATTGCTGACAGTGGGCAGAGCCTGCAATACTGCACTGTATTGACTGTAGAGAAAGGCAAACTCCACCACACTCAAGATCTAGTGATCCTGCTCTCTAGACACCATAGCCAATTACACTGAAAGCCACCAAGAGATCAAGTACAACTATGACAAAAGCACTTCTCCGGTCTTCTACCTTCGCAAAAAGTCATCAACAAGTGTAATCAACGTTGCCTCATACTTTGTCCAGCCTGAAAAGGGGCCAGATACAACCATCCCTGGAAAGAGAAGGTTGGAGATGGGATGAAAACTGTCCTGAATTGGAGACTGGATGAAAACTGTCCAGCAATGATGTCTTGAAGAAGATGAATTCAGAGATCTTGGTAGTACTACCTGGACCATACTACCTGTCATTTCCCAAGTGGCTTTCCTAAGCCAGAAGAGGCATGGGTCTTAATAACCAGTTGGTCTATGAACAATCCCTGTCCATCTCCTCAAGAGTTATATATTTAAACTCATCCTGGCTTGTCCAACATCCAATTTCCCTCAAGGTATTCAAAGAATGGCTTTATAAAGGAGAGAAGGAAGTTTAGCTTTGAGGATTGCTGATAGATTCTGCGGAGTCTCTGATCTTTTTTTTTTTTTAATTCTATACTGTGAGGTCCTGTAAAGACCTCTGAAAGGTCCCGAAAGCAACAGACCAGCCTTTAAATGCATGCCAGGATGCCAGGCTCTAAAGAACCACAGATGTGCCAGGAAACTGGCAGAGACAATATCATAGATGTGCAACATCTTCTCAGCAGGGACAGGTGTTCCTTGAGAATTTGGGAGTGAATGTGTGGCTATTGGAGAGGATGCGCAGAGTTTGCTGTTGGCAGAATTTCATTTAAACTGACAGATCTAATTGCTTGCTATGGTCATGCCCCACAGAAACATGTTTTCTGCGTAAAATATTTGTACAAGATCAGAGTGTCAAAATAGAACTAGCAGCATGCAAAGCTGCCTTATTTTTTCCCCCCAGGAGAAAGCATGGGGGCAGGAAGAAAGCAGAAGTAGGCACGGCAAGGGTTAGTACCACTTTATAATGCCTTGGTATAAGACCACACTGGAAATATTGCATCCAGTTTTGGTTGCCACAATATAAAAAAGATGCTGAGATGCTAGAAAAAGAGTGTAGGGAAGAGCACCGAAGATGATTAGGGGACTGGAGGCTAAAAAACATGAAGAATAGTTGCAGGAATTGGGTATGGCTAGTTTAATGAAAAGAAGGATTAGGGGTGACATGATAGCAGTGTTTCAATATCTCGGGGTTGCCACAAAGAAGAGAGGGTCAGCCTATTCTTATAAGCACCCAAAATCAGGACAAGAAGCAATGGGTAGAAACTAATCAAGGAGAGACGCAACCTGGAACTAAGGAGAAATTTCCTAACAGTTAGAACAATTAATCAATGGAATGACTTGCCTCCAGCAGGTGTGGATGCTCCAACACTGAAGGCTTTTAAGGAGAGACTGGACAGCCACTTGTTTGAAATGGTTTCCAGGGGTTGGACTGGAAGACCTTCAAGGTCCTTTCCAACTCAGTTATTCTGGTATCTTCTGAAGGCATGTCATGGGAGCAATGACAAAATGACCACCATGGAGTCATTTTATCACATTAGCAGAATAACAGAATAAAAGAGACCTTGTAGGTCAACTAGTCCAACCCTCCCCACCCACCCAAGCAGGAGACCCGGCACTATTTCTGACAGACGGCAGTCCAGTCTCTTCTTGAAAGCCTCCAGTGATGAAGCTCCCACAACTTCTGAACGCAACTTCTGTTCCATGGGTTGGTGGTTCCCACGGTCAGAAAGTTTCTCCTTATTTCCAGGTTGAATTTCTCCTTGATCAGTTTCCGTCCATTATTCCTTGTCTGGCCTTCAGGTGCCTGGGAAAATAGCTTGACCCCTTCCTCCTCTCTGTGGCAGTCCCTCAAATATTGGAAGACGGCTATCCTGTCTCCCCTGGTCCTTCACTCTAAGAAAAGAAGATGATGCCACTATGAGCCATGCCCATGAAATCTCCCATGACATATTGGAAAGCTCAAAGGTCCCATGAAATATTGAAACACCCCTCAAATATTGGAACCATGTCCCCTGCTCAAGCCTCAACAGTGGGCAACCTTAGGTGAGGAGCTCAACTGGTCTTCCCTATTCCTCCTTTTAAGCAACTGAGGGCAGATGGGCACACAGCAGTGGCATGCAGGTTCTCCCTGTTTTTATTTCTTTGCGGGCTTCTGGAAACAAACAATATTTTAAAAGAATCTGTCCCAAAATAATGCATGTTATATTCTGTTTAATATATAGACACACTATATTTCTATCGAAACCTTCATTGCCGGGTTAGAAAAATCAAATTCAGGCACCAGATTGGATTTGGCAAATTAAATATCTCTGTGTAATTTCTCTTGACTTAATTCATTCCATAATATTGACTTTTATGAAGTGACTCTCCTTCTGCTAATGGAAGAGGTTAATGGGATGTACAAAGGACAGTGCCTTCAGCTGAAACCCATCAAAGTCACCCCAACTAAGGGACCGAGAGTTGTTGACCTCAATTTCTCCAGAGGGCAGAACTAAGATGAGAAATTGGTTTGCAAAATGAAGAAGGCTTCTCTGGCCAGCTATTGTCGGGTTCTGGCATGTCAACAGACATAACTGACATATTTCCAAGTGTAGCTTCCAAGACACAAAGACTCTAAACTTGAGGACAAGAATCAAATAACTTGACCAGAGGTTTCATGGGTCACACACTTTGATGTTCAGGTGAAGAACATTATCTGACCAGGGTTACTTTAACTTTGACTATTTTCTTTCCCTCGACCACAACTTCTCAGTTTCTTCCTGGGTTGGAGGAAATATCTTTTTGCAAAAGCCCCTCGCAGTCTCATTCTGCTTTGGAATGCAGCTTCCCAAGAAATGTCTGGAACTTAATACGGAGCAGACTGCCCAGCTTTGTGTGTAACATCTGCCTTGTGCGTAACAACTGCTCAAATCCTTGCTACCAACAAGGCAGAAAACACCACAACATGACCTTTTCAACCTCGGCTTTAAAATAGCATCTAATCCAAGAGGGAAAAAAGGCATCCATGCCATCCATCCATAGAAGCAAAACAAAGACTTTTTTTTAAGTACATGAAGAACAGTTGTAGGAATTGGGCATGCCTAATCTAATGAATAGAAGGCCTGGAGTGACATGATAGAAGTCTTCCAATATTTGTGGGGCTGCCAGAAATATTGTAAGCAGGGGCAACCTATTCTCCAAACCAGAGGTGGGTATTTAGCAGGTTCTGACCAGTTCTGAAGAACTAGTGGCGGAAATTTTGGGTAGTTCGGAGAACCAGCAAATACCACCTCTGACTGGAGGTTTTACAATTTCCTTCCTCTGCCACACCCACCAAGCCATGCCCACAGAACCGGTAGCAAAACAACTTGAATCCCACCACTGCTCCAAACCATCTGAAGATAGAAGAAGCAGCAATGGATGGAAACGAATTGAGGAGAAAACCAATCTAGAACTAAGGAGAAATTTCCTAATGGTTAAAACAATTTATCAGTGGAAATAATCACAAGAGACTGGACAGCCACTTATCTGGAATGGTATAGTGTCTCCTACTTGAGCAGGGGGTTAGACTAGAAGACCTCTAAGGTCCCTTCCAACTCTGTTATTCCTTGTTGTATGTTCTGTGTATTATACTAAGTCTTTCCACTTTGTTTCGGTCTAACAATGGCTGAAACCCCCAAATCAATTGTTGCCAGTGTATGAAACACCCTGAGAAGAGAAGATTTGCACAGCCTCCCTGAAACCCAGAAAAACCTCAGCAAGTTTCACTGGAAGAGATTTTAATTGGGCTTTCCCCCAAATCTCTTTTGACTATTCTTTGAGATACAGTGAGAAAGAATGAATCAGAAGAGGTCCCATTTCCCTTCATTTTTGTGTTGTTTGTTTTACAATACAAAAAAATGTCCACAGAAAGAAGACGTAGGAAAAAGATGAAGGTAGATGGAAACAAGGACTAACGTTGGATTCTACCGTGACGTTCCAAAATGTATAAATAATGATGATTTCTGAATAAATTGATCACCACTTTAACAAAATGAGTTTGATTTTGCAATTGTCGTATAAGCAAAATACAGTTATTCAGCTGCAGGAGGAAAGATGTAAGTAACTGCTGAGGATTTCAGCCTAAAACTGCAGTGGAAGCTCTTGAAACTGGGTTAGGAATCCTGATTTCCAATTAGTGAAGTTTCTCCTGCTGCTTGGTGTTGTAGGGCAGGATTTCCAAGCCAGTACACATTTTCCTAGACAGCAGGCAATAATTCTTTCAAACCAGGGGGAGTTCTTCCAAAAATAAATTAAGGCTAGGGCAAGGCCATAGGTTGGGTAAGGGTGAAGACTCCATTGGATGAATCATTTCATTCATTCATTAATGACAACTCCGATTGCTCAAAAGGGAGTCCAACTTACTGAAAAGGTAGGGGCATCCTTCAGCTGGAGGATTATGAACTTGGGAAAAAAATTCAGCCACGTTTGTTAGTCCTTGGATGGGAGGAAGTGGTTGGGCCCAGATGTGGGATGAAAGTTGCATATTGTTGCCAAGAACTGTATGAACAGAATAACAGAGTTGGAAGAGACCTCTTCTAGTCCAAACCCCCGTTCAAGCATATCATTCCAGCTAAAGTCTGCCCAGTTTCTTCTTAAAAGCCTCCAGTGATGGAGCACCCACAACTTCTGTTTAATTGTTCTCACTGTCAGGAAATTTCTCCTTGGTTCAAGGTTGCTTCTCTCCTTGATTAGTTTCCATCCATTGTTTTTTTTCTTTGACCAAAAAGTTGAGTCCCTCTTTGTGGCAGCCCCTCAAATATTGGAACACTGCTACCATTTCACCCCTAGCTCTTCTTTTCACTAGATTAGACATACCCAATTCCTGCAATCATTCTTCATAGGTTTTAGCCTCCAGGCCCTTAACCATATAATAATTATTAATCATCTGATAGTCTAGTAAATGCCTGAATGAAGGTTCTGATGGGTCTGCAAATCCACATTGGAGAAAACCTTGCCATAGCTCTGCAGTTGTCTGTGTGTTAAACCGTGTTTGTACAGGAAGGGTGCTTTTGCAGAAAAGAGATTATTCCATCAGCTGCCCTTGGCCATCCCTGATAGCTTTGGAAAGAAGGCAGCCAGCAAGCAGCTTAGCCATCTGCTGGAGATGTCAAGATGTCAACCCTTTTCGAGGTCCCAAACTTGAAAAAGACAGCCAGGCAAGAAAAGCAGCCAAACCAAGCATTCATCGTTCACAGATGTGTCTTCTCATCCATATTCTTTCTGCTTTTGCATGGAAGCACTGAAGCTGGGGGGAGAAATACACTTCCCTCGGAGGGCTTGGTGACAGTTTAAAACTGCAGTTGTCAATTAATGCTTTTTAGGAAACAGAAAAGCATGAGTTCGCTGTCATTTTCTTGGCACTAATTTTCACCAGTGGATTAAAAAAAAAATCCTCTTCCAATTTTCAGCCTAAGCATTCTTTCCAGATCTAAGTTTTCCAATTGAGAAAATGTTTTCCCCTCACCCCAATGTGGGTGTGTCTGGGAAGGCAGAAGGAGGCAGTTAACATCATGAATGCCCTGATATCATCATGAACATCATTAAAACGAAATAACGGAATAACCTGCCTCATTTTCAAGATGACAGAATGATATTATACATCTTCCCAGGCAGGTTTCTCATCCCATAATATGACCTAATTTGAAATGTTCAACTTTACTCCAGCGTGTTGCGAGAATCTCGCTCTTGTGGTTTGCAAATCATGGTTTATGGCTTAGTATGACATATGAACACAATAAAAATAGTGGCTCATTCCATGAATCGTGGTTAGACAAATTATGACTTGGTTGAACGTGTGAACACAATTGAACAAATCACCTAAAATGCAGCTAAGGGAAAACTCTGTGTGGCTCAGTAATTGTAGTCCTTCCCCTTCCTATCTTAGCTTCCTGGCTGAAATGTCACATCTACACATGATAAATTAAACCAGGATCCCATGTATAATTCTACTGCATTTTAGAGCATAAATGAGGAACTCCATTTATACTTAGGAAGAATGTTGCTTAAACCCATGGCGGTTTGAATCCCTAGCGCCACGTCACAGACTGAGTTCCAGTTCCTTGTCCCAGCTTCTGCCAATCTAGCAGTTCAAAAGCATGTAAAAAAAATGCAAGTAGAAAAACAGGGACCACTTTGGTGGGAAAGTAACAGCGTTCCGGGCACCTTCAGTGTTTAGTCATGCCGGCCACATGACCACGGAGATGTCTTCGGACAGTGCTGGCTCTTTGGCTTTGTAACGGAGATGAGCACCACCCCCTAGAGCTGGAAACGACTAGCATGTATGTGTGAAGGGAACCTTTACCTTTACCTTACCTTTACCTTTTAAGAGAGTGAGGGGAGCATCCAGGCTGTAGCGTCTTCCTGCTACATTGGTTGCCACACAATGGTAGACCCCAGCATCTCCTTCCTGGACATCTGTGATCTGAAGGACACCATTTGGAAGGACGATGAACCTACGAACCCAAGGATGAAGAAGAAAGATCAATTCCTACACTGGATCAAATCAAGATTTTGGGCTTGGACAACCTTGAACTATGCCACCAATGGTTGGACTTAAATCCAAAAATAAATAAAATACAACAATACCCTAGAAAGTGTGCAAGGAAGACCAGCAAAGATGATAAAGGATCTAGAGGCTAAATTAGAATCAGAAGGGACCTTGGAGGTCTTCTAGTCCAGCCCCTTGCTCAAACAGGAGATCCTACACCATTCCAGACAAGTGACTGTCTAGTCTCTTCCTAAAAACCTCCAATGAGGCTCCAACGATTTCTGGTGGCAAGCTGTTCCACTGGTTGATTGTCCTCACTCTTAGGAAGTTTCTCCTCAATTCCAGGTTGCTTCTTTCCTTGATTAGTTTCCATCCATTGTTTCTTGTCCTGCCCCAGTGCTTTGGAAAATAAAATTTTCAAATGGTATGATGAATGGTTGAAGGAGCTAGGTTTGTCTAGCCTTATGAAGAGAAGGATTAGAGGGGACACCATAGTGGTCTTCCAATACTTGAGGAGCTGTCCCAGAGAGGAGGGGATTGATTTGTCCAACCAAAGCACCCGTGGGCAGGACAAAAAGTAATGGGTGGAATCTTGTTAAACCTAGAACAAAGGAGAAATTTCCTGACAGTGAGAACAATAATCAAAGAAATAGCTTGCCTCCCAGAGTTGTGGATGCGCCATCGTTGGAGGTTTTCAAAAATCGACTGGACAGTCATTTGACTGGGAAGTCTATGGAGATTCTCAGTCATCCAAGTCATGGTTCTCCCAAAGGTGCTTTTTCCAAGAGGCAACTGGACTTTCTGGTTTTTCTCTGAAGACGTTTCACTTCTTGAAGAAAGTCTTCAAAGAAAACCCAGAAAGTCCAGTTGCCTCTTGAAAAAAGCACCTTTGGGACATTTGACTAGGATGTGTTGAAGGTTTCCTGTCTTGAGTAGGTGGTTGGATTAGAAGACCTCTGAGGTACCTACCAGTCCTATGAATCTATGTTAATAGCAATAGCACTTAGGCTTATATATTGCCCTATGGTGGTTTACAGCCCTCTGTAAACAATTTATAGAGTCGGTCTATTGCCCCCAACAATCTGGGTCCTAATTTTATCAACCTTGAAAGGATGGAAGAGCGGAGTCAACCTTGAGCCAGCAAGGATTGAACTGCTGGCAGTGGGCAGAGTTAGCCTGCAAAACGGCATTCTCACCACCGTGCAACCAAGACTCCTTGTTCTGTGTTCTATATCCCTCTAAGACTCTCTTAGAGCTGTTCATAGACAGA